AACTGATAGATAAAGTAAAAACTTACCTGGGCATAACCCCGGCACAGATACCTGTAACAAAGATGCCGACGGCCTCTATGCTTAAGCCGGGGATTAGGTCGGTGGTTAAGAGGAAAGAAAGGGATTCTTTCCAGGTAGCCTTAATAAAGGCAGGTAGATTTTGCTCGTTGCAATCACTTCACCTCACAAACAAACACGTCCGCTCAGCTCGGCTGTTCGCACTGAACTCCATGGATTGTTCGAGACCGAACTAGTCTGACTATTCACTGAACGCAGCCAGTATCTCTAATCTATCTTAGGCAAATAGGCATATATGTTTTATGGTGTGGTATTCGTTTGATTTTGTTTTGTGAAGCATACTGTCAAATCTGAAATCATTGGTGTGATGGATGTTTATTTTATTTACGAAATGAGGTCTTAATTATTAGTTAATTGTGTATTTATATTTAAGTAGACGCAAGTTGTCTGTGCCATTAAATTATTATTTATATTGTAATTTGAATATTGCTTGGAAATTGTATGGGCTTATTAATGAGGAAATAACATGTACGTGTTTTTTAATTATACGTAATTAGTGCTAACAATGTTTTAATTGAAAGATTAGAGTGATAATAAAAAACGATGGATGAAGCTGCAAGTCTTGCACACGGACCTCCAATAAATATTCTTCCACCAACACCAGCAGGATTGGAGAGTTTATATACTTTGTGTAGAAAAGTTTATCCTGATCAGGCAAATCCCTTACAAGTCACTGCTTTGTTAAAATATTGGTATGTTCTGATTTTATTAAATTAAAAGATAAATATTTAGGAAATATAATAACACATTTTGCCGCATATTCTATTTTTAAATCAGTCACCCCTGTTACAGACAGACACTTCCTGTTTTTTTTAGTTATTTATATCCTGTTTCTTTATTGGCTGAAGGGTACTATCTAATATTTTTTAACAGGGTAAGGCTAGCATTTCTATTCTTAAAGATTTCAGTTTGGATACGACTTACTACAGCCCTTATTGAATTTGTTCTGGAAATAAATACAACTTTTTGACATGTTCTCTAATTATGTAGTACCTAAAAAGATACATTTTCATCTACTAAGATAAATTTCTCAATTTTTGTAAACAAAATGATACTTGTGTTGACAAGAAACATTTTTTCCTATTTTCGTATGAAGAATCAAATTATACAAAGTATAAGGCATATTCATCTTTATGTCCTTTCGAATTATACATATCAGGGAACAGGCAACATTGGGATGAAAGGTTCAAAGTTTTATAAAATTAACAAGTTTTGTTGTTTATGGGGAATAAAAAAAATATCTTAAAATACTTATTTTCTATAATGTTTTTCCAGGTTAGGTGGTCCAGATCCCTTAGATTACATATCTATGTATGCCAACCCTGGAGTGCCTCATGAAAACATTCCACCTCATTGGCATTATATTAGGTAAAATAATATTACATACATAACAAACTTGGAAAATTAATTCAGTACATAATTTCAGTTTTGGTTTATCCGATTTACATGGAGACGGTAGAGTACACGATATTTCAGGTCCAGAAAGTGTATCAGGCTTTGGATTTGAATTAACATTTAGATTGAGAAGGGAAGCAGAAGAAACTGCACCTCCAACATGGCCCGCTACTCTTATGCAGAGCTTAGCAAAATATGTATTTCAATCAGGTACAATAATTGAACATTCACTTTTATATAAAACCGAGGGGGTAACCACAGTACCAAAAGCATACATGCATTGTGGAAATATCATGATTTCTGGGGATTACGGCAGAATCCAGTGATTGCTTGAAACTGATTAAGAATAAGGTTTTTAAACGGAATCCACCATTTTTATTGTTTAATTTTTGAATTCAACTTAACTTTCTGATCATATTTGCTGCTCTATACTTTAATATTAATTTCACAATTATTGAAATTTTATGAAATTTACACAATATTTTTAAGACTACAGACTTACTACTTAAAAAAATTGAAACACATTTTTTTTCTACTCGGATATTCCTCCTTAAATGAAAAGTATAGAAGCAAGTGTCAAACTTCTCAAATTCTAATGTGGTTCAACTGTTCAAGTTTAAGTTTAAGTGAGATCCATCTGACGAATCTAAGTACGTTTGGTTAAGCGTGGAATAATGTATTGACTTTCTTATGAAATAAAGCATGAAACCATGAAAATTCGTGAATCGATGTGTACTGTTTTCTTGCAAAAATCTACATCTTGTATTGTGGAGAAGTGGTTACTCTTTATATACAGCGTCATGGCTAGGGGATGGCTGCCAGGGGCGCAGACCTCAAGGGAGTGCAGTCCCTTTTAAAGTTATTGTATTGTTCTTCTTCCTACAAAATAAATAAGAACTAATGTTATATATTACTTAATTGTATAATTTAAATTACACTTTAAAGTTACTGTATTGTTTCTCTTACTACAAAATAAGTTTTGGAGGTTGCAAAATTCATATCTTGACCTGGGCGTTCATGACCTTAGCTATGACAGCTTATATAAAACCTTTCTTTACCAAATTTCTTGCAATATTACTAGTATTGCAGTGTGTATGTTTTATACGTTATTTTAAAATGAATAAGCTAACTCTTGTTACTACTAAAAATTTTGCACATTTCTAATCAGATTAATAATATTTTCATACTATTTTCAAGTTCTGGTTTGCTATTCAAAGTAATATTTAATTTTAAATATTTTATATCCCATTATAGTAAATTCATTTATTATGTACTTTATAGGTAATACACTTTGTTCCGGAGATCATGTTTCATGGCACTGTGCATTAGACAATAGCGAATCTCGAATCCAACACATGCTGATGACCAATGATGTTCAGCTAAAGACAACTCATACACCTTTTGGAACTGTAGATTTTGTTCAGATTGTAGGCATATGTGCAGAGGAATTAAAGGCTGCCCAACAATGGAACGGAGCTGGGATTTTAGATATGATCAAACACATTTCTTCGTAAGGCACCCATGATATTTATCAATTAAAAATTTAAAAAACTAAATCTCAATATTGTGTATCGAAAATTATAAAATATTAGCAGAAAATATTCGTATTATGAGAAATTTGGAAACCACAGTGAATCTTGTATTACATATGTTTTAACAGCATGTATAATTTGCTATGTAAAAGAGTTTAGTGAAAGTATTTTTCAAAATTACAAATATTTTACGGAGATATTAACTTTTTTAAAATCCATCTGACATGTACATTTTGAGAGCTATTGTCCACATGATAGATAGAGTAAAGGGTATCCCAAAATTCACACAAGAAGTACAGAGCCTTCATAAATGTTTAAAAGCCACGTGACCGCTGGGCTTAGGCAACCCAACAATGCACGATTGGTATTGACAACAAGAATTCCCTAAATGTTAGCGTCAGCAATATTAATGATTCCTTTACAATGAACAGTAACAAATCGTTACACCTACGCTCGAGATAATGCGATCGCTGACTGGTTGTATAAAATCTCGTGGAAAATTACACCAATCAGCGTAGGCATAATGGTTTGTTACTGTTCTTTGTAAAGGAATCATTAATATTGGTGATGCTAAGATTTAGGAATATTCGTTACCAATACCAATCGTGCCTTGCTGGGTTGCCTAAACTCAATGGTCATGTGGCTTATAAACATGGCTGTGGTAATTTTGTTAGAAAACACAAGTTTTTAATTAAAATTTTTTATTGATTCATAAAGTATACAATATAGGGTTATGTATGGAATAGCATATCGGGTAAATGGCCTTCACGGCTTTGCTTGCACATAGGCTCCTTTGTCGAAATTTTCCATGACCATTTTGCATAAATGCGGCTGAATTTCGTTGATACAGCGCTCAATTTACTTCTTCAACGCATGGGTGGTCGTGGGCTTGTTGGTATAAACCTTAGACTACAAAAAATTCCAAAGAAAAAAGTCCAACAAAACAGAAATTACACAACCACGAAGTGACTCGTGCAGTCATTGAATTGCTTCTCAGGCTGTGGCACCGTCGTGTTGAAACCACATGTTGTCTACATCCACATTCCAATTTAGGCACAAAAAACTGGATTATCATGTTGTCCGAGCACCATTAACTGTTATTGCCTGACCAGCCGCATTTTGTAAAAAAATTGCGAACTGTAGCTGCCAAACCTTCATTATTTTTAAAAAATTGGAGAAACTAACATTTTTTTTGAAAATATACATATCCTCAAAATAATTATTTTATATTGTTTTTTTGCTTATAACTTTTTTAAAGCTTCAGAAATTTTTTGGAAAATTTGGAATATTTATTCTTGTCATAATAGTGCAGTTAAATAAAAAAATTAGCAAAATTGGAAAGCCCTAAAGCTCAAATGACACTTGGTATTTACAAAAATGATAACTTTTTATTTTTAATTATTTTTTCTGCTTCTTTCTAAATTTGGAGACATTTTATGTAAAAAATGAAAAAATGTAAAAAATATAAAACAGTACTCTTATTTGAAATCAAAAAACTAAAAAACCAACCAATTTCGAGAAAATCCACATTTAAAACTTTTGAAGTATCAGTGATTCTTACTTATTTTATGATAATTATGAGCGAAGTTTGCTTTATGATAGGAATAAGAAAAAATCTAATGAAAAAAGGAGGTTATATACAGGGTGTTTCTTAATAACGTGCTAATATTTAAGGAGGTTATTCTTGGGTCCATTTTAAGAAAAAAACTTCATATGAACATATGTCCTAAAACTCTTAACTTTTTAACTACAGGGTGCTAAAGTTTTATGAAAAAACATTTTTTTATAACTGGTATTACCTACCCTACATATTTTTTCAAATTTGGTACACGCCTTCTATTCATCAAGATGCATTTTTTGATGTACAAACAATTTTATTATTTTTGCCAGTGGCGTCTGTACAGGTTTTGTATTGAATATTTTTGAAGAAAAATATGTTTTGCCACTGCTTTTTCTTTAAGTAAAAATCATTTTTGAAATCCTCATGCCTTTCTGAGCAAATGTGGTGTCTTGAATTTTTTCGTTTGACATACGGTTTTCGCATAAAAAAATAAAATTCATCATTAGCATCTTATTTACGAGAAAAAAAAAATTATGTAATTTTGAACATTAATTTATTTATTTAAGATAATAACTTTTAAACACTGAAATTATGAAATTACAGTAATCTACATACATTTTGGAATGGTAAAAGAAAATTACCCTGGCGTGACATTTTTCTTCAAAAATATTCAATACAAAACCTGTACAGACGCCACTGGCAAAAATAATAAAATTGTTTGTACATCAGAAAATGCATCTCGATGAATAGCAGGCGTGTACCAAATTTGAAAAAATATCTAGGATAATACCAGTTATGGCAGTTATCACAAAAAAAGTTTTTTCATAAAACTTTAGCACCCTGTAGTTCAGAGGTTAAGACTTTTAGGACATATGTTCATATGAAGTTTTTTTCTTAAAATGGACCCAAGAATAACCTTAAATATTAGCATGTTATTAAGAAACACCCTGTATAATATTGAATTTTCCATAAAAGTGATAAGAATCATTATTTTTCACAAACCTTATGGTATCACAACCCTCTATTTTCACACATTTGCTGTCATTTGTAATGGAGATCCTGGGCCATAAATTGGTTGTTCAAATGATCTATTTTTGCCATTTCATCTATCATATTATCTAAGTATGGTTTTTATTGAAGTTGTTTTTTTGAAAATGTGTTGCTGGAAGAGCTAGAACCTGTTCCCATAGCCAAAGTTGGTTTAGAATCACTATCATCATCATTAACACTGTACTATAATTAGCATTCGCATTATCATTAATTACGCTTGAAAAGGCATATACTTAGTCGGCTATTAATTTTTACGACTGACTATTGTGTATAAACCAAAAAAAACATTGAAGCTGCCCTACAAGTGATCAGCGATCAGACTTTAGCGCAGAGCACACAGCTTCAATTTTTTCATTAGTTTAGCTTGTGCTGGGACACCCCATCCTCTTATCATAGTGCATGCTGTCTCGACCATCATGAAACCTCCCAAACCACAGGAACACCAGTCAGATGTAATACATACACACACATACACACCATATGCCATTTGTAACAGTTGATACGTTTCCAAGGCTGTTTTACCGGCTTTAAAACAGGATAGCTGTACACTGTTCAGTGTGCGTTTCCATGACAACTATCAAAAACTCTTCATGCAAAGCGTTATAACATCGTGGTAGATACATTTATACTCTGGAAATTTTGTTTGGTCGCTCGGAAGTCAGTCTAAAAACTTAATAGCTGGACTGTCTAAGTGCATTTTTCGTGTTTGAATTTGCAAAATATCTTCAAGGATTTAGTGCATTTTAGAAAATATTTAAGCATTCTTAAAACTAATTGGATAATATTTATGTCTGTAAGTATCATCCCCTATTTTAGTATTTGCTTTTTGGTTTAAAAATTTCCAAAACCACAATACTTTTAAACAAAACATTCAGTCAACTATCCATAAATAAAAATGATATCTGCATATCAGTTGAAGCACTTTGTGTTTTGTGTACAGGCTTATAATTTTTAAAAATAAATTTTTGAGATTACGGATTCTGGAGTAATTTACCAAAATTACCAGTTGTATTAACTCAGTAATAATAAAATTTACATTACTAGCCAAGTGATTTTTTTTTAAATGCCTTGTAACAATTTTTGAACTTGTTCTAATATTTTCGTGCTCACTGTATATTTAAATTTTAGTTTAACCATTCACAATTTTTAATTTTAAAGTCTAATATAATATTTGTATTCAAATATTTTTATATATGGATATTTTAGAGCTGGAGGACCATGGCACATAACAGATATGCGAAGGGGAGAGAGCATATTTGAGCTAGACCTCAATGCACACGAAGAGGTAGAAAGGGGTTTCGAATTAGAGGGATCTAATTTAAGTGGCGTAAGTGCCAGATGTTCGTGGGTTGAACAAGATCCTTCTAGGCTAGATATTGCTTATTTAAAGGAAAAGACTGATGAACACGAGGATGGGAAAGTAAAATCACCTCTCCATCAGAGTCTGCAAGGTATAAACCTCCAAGTTTATTCATGCGGTTTCAGTTCTCAGTTAAATAAATCCTTAGGTAATAGGGGTATTTTAGAATCTACAGAACTCCTCCACATTAAAAAATTAGAGGGAGTGCATTTGATATTTAACTTGGAAGCTGGCAGCCTTCTACCTTTGGCCATAAGGTATGTCAAACTCTGAAAACCGCGTGGTTATACAACTTATAAATAATTTTTAGGGGACGAGTAAAACATGGTCGGCACTTTACATTCAAATCTGTTTTGGGAGAGGCAGCTATAACTTTAGTCGCACATTCAGTGACAGGAACATTAGTCGATATGGAACATCCTTTTGTGGCTCAAGGTTCATGGTTGCAGGTGTTAATACCGGACGATCTAGCACAAGATATGGCAGTTACATTTCAAGTACTTACCAGTCCAGAGGCATTATCTTTACCAAAAACGTTTTCATGGCCAGACAGGAAATTGTCGATCACCATTGTAGCAGATAAAGTCTAAGAAGTGTTCGAGCGCAATTTTAATTTATTTATTAAAAGTTAGTTTTTATTTTTATAGTGTAGTACACAAAAGGTACCATTCTTCTTCAATGGTTTCCTGTGATCCGTATATTATCGTAATGTGCCTATATCTGTGTGATGTGTATCGTTTTGGTATCTTTTGTGTCCTAGTATGTTTAATGTTCTTTTAGAGAATGAAGTCATATGTTTATAAATTAACTATTATGTGTTTTAACACTTGTTTTGGCTAAGTTCGCACCTGATAGCTTCTGTTCTATCAGTGGCAGGTGAAAATTAATGTGGTCATATTTTGATAATACCTGGAAGTGTATTTATCATGAAATGTCATTTTTTCCTAAACAAAAAAATATATTTTTTTATTGGTACCCTATTTTGCTTATTTAAAGCCCAATTATTGATCTGACAAGTACCTTGTAACGTGATATAAAATATTACTAACAAATGTTTCAAAAGCTTTATTCAAATATTTACCATCTTAATTATTTAAACGAATGTGAAATGTGCAGTTGGTATTCTTTAAGATATTAATACTTCAGTTTTTTAATTCGGATGAAATACTGTTCAAATTAATACAGCTAACATTTTCGGAAGTCGATGAGGTTGCAGTGGGTGCACTTGCATTAATGGCACTCCCAATAATGTTTGAAACATTTTTCTTATTGCTAATACTCTCTTCAACGTAACCAGTCGCCACAGCTGCCGATTTCCATCCTACTTGTCATTGGATTTGATCTATTGTCATACTACTACTTGCCATAATGGTAGCAGACGTACGACGAAACGCGTGTCCCGTGTATTTCTTAGGATCGTCCAATTTAAGATAACGTGCAATTTGCAAGGGACATGATTCAAATGTATTAATACCGACCATTTGATTGGTGCACTTCCTCTTATCATACCGTAAGAAAACTCGGTCTGTACTTACATTTTGGGGACGCAATGATAAATACTGCTTCATCAAACGCACATAACTAATTCATTCACTGTCTTAGATGGTCGGATAGTAATAAGCAATACGCTTCCTTCTTCCTTGACGTCATGTAAGCGTAAGTCGTACAATTCACATCGACAAGGGCCAAAAATACCGCAAATGGATACCACCTTCAAAAATAAATATGTAATGTCTGGTGCATTTGTGGAAAACTGCCGCAAATCATATTTCTTGAATACATATGCCTTCTTCGCTACGTCATTCTTGCTAATTGCCTTTATGAATGCATGCACTTTCGTAAATGATTTTAAATCGACCCCTTTGTCTATCCTCAACATACTTTGCAATTTCGAATGGATAGCCCACATAGTCGACGCTTTGTACTGCTCTGACATTTTTTGAAGATAAGCAAGCACAACTCGTTCATTTGTATTTGTTACCTTTTGCTCTTCCATCCATTTGATGAACCCGTCGTATTCTTTTCTATAAGTGTTTTCCGATTTTTGCGGTATTAATCGCAATTCTGCTTTACTATTTAAGTAATCAATGTTAGAAGTCATTTTTAAACAATATACAACTAGTAATAACTGTGGTGACAGCAATTAATCTTATGTGACAGTACAGTTATAAATTAATTTTTGTTTTCTCGTTTTCATGACAACGAAAAGTATACTGATGTAACATCACAAATTCAACCATTTGACATTGTTAGTTCTTATTTCCATTTTTTGTAGTATTAATACAATATTTATTATTTCAACGTGTACCAATAAAAAAAAATAGCGTAAATTATTTGTGGATAACTGGTTTTTAAAACACTTGCTCTATTTGAAAAATCGCGCGTGTTTTAAAGACCTTAATATCCACTTATACTTTAATATACTATTATAGACTACACTTTTCATTCATTCATAAATAAAAATGTTCCCTTTAACTACATGGAGTTTATATCTTTAAAAAATGATTTTTTCTTAATCTATCTAGAAAACTTGGGAATCATGGATTTTTTTGGCCAAAAACACCCTGTTAAAGTTCATCATGAAGAATTTTGAAAAGTGGAATGTTAGAATCAAGTCATTTATATGGGGATAGCTACTATTAAATATTTAATTTTGTGAAACAAATCGTTTTGAAGATTTTTATTGCAAATTTTGTTAAACGTTTGTTTTTTTCATAAAAGCTCTGTGTGGGAATTGTCGTCCCCTAAAAATGGTATAAGTTTCATTATCAAAATAAGCACTTTAATTTTCACCAACATCCGCTGTATTCTATCATTGTAAACAGGTATGTGATTCTATCACTGTCCAGTTAATACAATGTTTTTCAAACACATTTTTAGAAAATTATCGTAGACAGATTGTTCCCCACAATAACGATGATTTACAGTAGGTAAAATTAAATTAAATTTATGAACCCTTGTAATAAAGTTCTTGATACAAGATTTTGATTTATTTAGTAATAAAAAGTTTTACAATTTTATAAAATTTATCAATATTGTACCTGGATATTGCATAGTTTTCATTTCTTAGTCTAGCTAGACATTAAAAAAATGGTGCAGTCAACATGATAATTTTTTACTTACCAACTCTATTTTAAAATCTCTCCTTTCATGAATGATCTGTCTTTGATTATTTGATGTCTTTACTCCTTAATAGTGTAATATGTTTTACAATTCGTCCATTTTATATTTATATATCTGATATTTAACGTGCCTTTTATTTATATAAAACAGTTTTTATGAAATAATATTTATACAACTTTATAGATATATATTTTTTTAATACCTAAAACACTATAATTATAAAATATTGAATATTAAAAGGTATTTGAAGTTTCATAATCAATAATGATTGATTTATATTGATGTCAAAGTCAAAATTGCAATCTTGAGATTCTTGAGTTTAAGAGTCACTTCTTTTTTATTACAGAAAATGTGTTCATGGTAGTATTGTGTTGCCACTCGTCCATCATAAAATGACCGATTTGTGCGTCAAAATTACCGTATTTGACATGAATTTATTGACCGCACATTTTGCAAGGATTTTAACCCTTTCACTGCTCCAGATGTATTTATTTGCTAAAAATTTATAGGGCTCAAACTGCCCAAGACGGATTAATTCGCTTGAATAGTTAAATTGGATCAGGCTACTCAAACCGTATATATTCGCAACCATGCGCATTAGTGACTCGGTTGTTGCAATAATTGGTATGGGGAATTTTTGTGGACGAAATTTATAGCGATTGTGACAAATTATGGAAGGAGGTACTGGTAATAATGCCAAGATTGTTCATCTCTCTTTCAGTTTCTATTTAGTACAGCTGTCGATATACTGTATTTTATTTAAAGTAAAATCGTAAAATCTATCGTAAATCATAATTTAACACAACATAATGTAACACTACAAGTGGTCTAACTGCTCCAGACGTATATACTCGCATGCGACACACTTTCGTGCATGGCGCGGTAGCTATGTTCAGACGTATTGCGCAGCGAAAGGGTTAATAAAAATGTATAAATAAATGAATGAATTTATTAAAATTATAATATAACAAATAAGTGAAATAAATGATTAAAATACATTTCATTATAGCTTAATAAAATATTTATTTATTTATTTATTTAAATTATTATTTGTCCAACAGTGAAAATCACCAATTACGGGACTATATATACAAATATATAATATTTACAAACATGTGAGCATACAGAACAAAATGTAAAGAATAAATATAACAAACATACTGGTAAAATAGTGTAACAACAAAAGAAAAAGAAAAATAAGAAGAAAGAAAAAGCTGCAACTACTCCCTATGCTACCAATCATGAATTGTTGACACCTCTAAAAGCTATGTACAGATGTTGCAAACTACAGTTGAATATATCACTAGAGTTACAGATTAAGTTATAATTGTGACATAAAAGAAACAGGAGACTTCAATCCCACATTGATATTAGAAGCAGAAGTATAAAAAGTGGAGAGCGGCAAGCCGGCCTAACTGTTAAGAAATTCAATTGACTTAGAATCTCGGGACAGTCTACTTTATTGTTTAATAGTGCATGTAAAAATTTCAAACTATGGAAGTGCTTTCTGTACTGTAACGAGTCGAGATTGAAACGTGTTAATAGTAATTTGTAATCGCATCCACGAGCAGGATATACGCCACCAGAACGAAGTGCGAGGTATTTCAAAAACTTTTTTTGCACCGAATCAATTAAACTGGCTTAGTTAATATAAAAAACAATCCAAGCTGGAAAGCAGTATTCCAATTTGGAATGGATAAACGCGTGATATAATGGAAACAAAACGACATTATCTCTGAATTCACGACCTTGTCTAATCACAAAGCCCAGCGTGTTGAGGACACCAGATATTGAATATGATTTGAAAACGTAAAGTTACTATCGAAATAGATACCCAAATCTTTTATGGTATCCGTGTGCTCTAAGGCGTCCAAGTTAATTTTGTAATTGAACATAATGGGCTTAAGTTTACGTGAAAAGAAACGACTTTACACTTGGAGATATTTAAATACAAATTATTTGAATCGCACCAAAGGACTTATTTGTCGAATTGACTCTGAAGGTGAAGACAGTCATCATCAGTTAAGATAGAGGAGATTTTTAAGTCGTCGGCAAAAACTAGTTTGCGACAGTCAATGTAAGTCGTAATATCATTAACAAAGATGGAAAATAGGAGAGGATCTAGATTGGAACCTAGATTGAGGTACTCCAGAAGTAATAGAATACTGACTAAACTTAAAACCGTTGTAAGTGACATACTGTAGACGATTTGACAAATATGAGCTAAACAGCTATAAAAAGTTGCCACAAAGACCGTATACTTCGAGTTTATGGAGGAGTATGCCGTGATCAATACAATCGAAGGACTTTGAGAAATCGGTGTATATGACGTCCACCTGCCCACATTGATCAATAACATTACATATGAACTGTGTGAAACACATCAGATTTGTGGTAGTTGATCTCTTTTCTATAAAACCACGTTGTTCAGGAGATATGATGCCCCTGAAAAGTGGAAACACGATTATACAACGACATCTCGAAGACCTTCGCGAAATTGCATAACAATGAAATGGGCCTATAGTTATTAATGTAAGAAGGGTCACCACCTTTGAGGATTGGACAAACACTTGCCACATTCCACACACTAAGAAAAGTTCCGGTTTTAAAAGCGAGATTAAATATATATCTCAGCGGGTTAACCAAAATGAAACGACAATCACGAGCAAAGAAACTGGGAATTAAGTCCGGACCTGACCTTAATTTATTTTTAAGTTTCCTAGCTGAATTTATAATTTCCTCGTCAGTCAGAAAATTAACAGTTATTGAAGGAAAGTTAGTACAATTAAACATGCCAAGACTTCAATGTTCAACAATTCGATTATCAACAAATAATAATTCGGGTTCTCAAAAGAAGACATTTTGTAAAAAATGCTCTATATTTTGATAAAATAAAAATAATCTAACTATATATATATATATATGTCATCTAGATGTTTTGAAATATTAACCTGCCCCATATACTTACTATCTATATACTGGTAGCCGGCTATAGGTCGCTGTGTACGGATTTGTCCAGAGAGGAGATATTTTTCTGTCTCTCCAGGGAATTAGAACCCAATGCGCATGCCCTACACACAAAATCATGAACGAGTGAAGAGAGCAGTGAGAGCTAGACGGCCAGTGGTCCCAAACATGTCCCAGACTTATAAAAAAACGCCAAAAATCTGATTTTGTTTAAAACAACATAATTAACTTACTAAAAATAGACACTAAAATTGTCAAATTATTAAAATTATCAATTGCAATATTATATTGGTTCCTCCTTATATGTCACATAAATGCTTATGACTAATCAGCATTTTATTTATTAAACAAATTCTCAAGGTTTACCTATACTAAAAAATGAGTAAGGCAATTTTATACTACATCAATAAATAAAACGTGTTCTTAAATATGGTTGAAATATTTTATTATGAACTTAATAAATACAGACAAAAAATATAATTATGAAATAACCACTTAAAATATAATACAAACTGCCTACACACTAATTACTATATTCAAGTAGAAAATACATATCGAAAAGTAAAAACAAAGCAGATTCATTGATTTTTAAATAGGATTAATTGAGTATATTTCTGGCAAATGTTATCGTCTTTTTGGAACCTGACTGCCCGCGTGAAATAATCTGATTGTAACAAATGTTTTTATAATCATTTGAATTAATTGGGTTCTGTGGTTGCCCAGTACACAACCAAAAATATATGACTGCAATTTCACATGTTTAGTAAATTCAACAGAGCTAAATACTGACGAAGGTACGTCCCGATGAATTTTATTAATGAGAAATTGTGGAATGTTTTTAGTTTTAAATAGCTCTGTGTAATGTCCTCGAAATACCTTTTCTGCATGTAAACAAATATCGCAGGCATCTTTTGAGGGATATAAAAAAATACCTCTATTTTTAAGTCTTATAAGATCAGGTTTTTCCTCATTGTCATCAGCAAAAAGTTGCTCAGTGCAAGTTTCACAATGACTTTTCTTAATTACTTTGCGAACAATGAATCCGGCTATATACCTCACGATATTTACAAAGGGTGTCAATGTCCACAACGTATTCAAATAGTCGTGGTCAAGAAGATCTGCTTGCACATTACAGTCGCCTGCCGATTCAACAAGTTTTGGTCTTGCTGATGAAATTTGCAAAATGGGAATGTTATCGTCTGCACAATTTGCATTTGACGTACTGATTTCATGGCAAATGACGTTTGTATGCTGATTCAAATTGTTTAGCAGTAGGGTTGTTGTTAAAACCTCCCCTGCTTCTTACTGCACTAAAAAAAGTTTCTAAAAAGTTCTGTGAAATTTTGATTGTTAAGAGATATTCATGTACAGTATGGAATACAGGAAATATATTTCGAGGGCAAATAATAAATCCTTTGAAACCTGTAAATCTTTTTGTTTGTAATATAGGTGTTCCAAAACCGTCTTTTAAATTTACTATATACTGTTCATATCCAGATTCAACAGAAATAGGAACATTATAATTACTTCAAATACAATACTTTAACAAATCAAATATGTTGTTAAACTGAAAGCAAAACATTGCTGTTGGCATGCTATCTTTAAACCCAGAAATTTTAGTTTCAATAAGAAAACGAAAATCATTATAAATACTTTCACTCAATGTTTGTGTAGCAAGCTTTACATTCATTTTATAATTGGTAAAATTTACATGTTTTTTAGTCAATTTTGTACCAGCAAGCAAACCTTGCTCTGCTTCTAAATTATGGAGTGATTTAATGTAGGCCCGATATATCTGTCTGTGATTTTTGTCTAGCAGAATTGTCTTATCGCCTAAGGTATTTCTGACTAGTTTGATCATATGTGAAGGATCCCAGAAAGTGTAAATTGGTTCTCCAGTAAAGGAGTTGTCAAACCAGGGGTGAAATTTATCTGAAGGATAGGTATATTTGCTCCTAGGGTTGTGCACATTGTGATGTTAACAGGTGCACCATCATAAGTAAGTCAAAATACTTTAGCCCCCGTGTCATTAAATAACTCCAAACATTTTGTAAACAAATTTGCCCTCTTCTTTCCACTCAAACCTTTTATCAAAAAATATCCAAGAGGAATTTTCCAGTTATCGCTAAGTGTTACTGCCATATAAATCAATGCTGAAGTTGCTGCTACAGCCATATCGTTATCGTGATCAAAATCTGTCCCTAAATCAATACCTCCGTAAAATCTAATTTTGTCATAACTAAGTGATTCTTTAATAGACATTTCATCTAGGACAATATTACATATAACTGGCAAATGCTTGTTTTTTTTGCGATTATTTCTTTTACTGACTGGCATATCGACCTAAGCGAAAAGAAATAAACCACATAAGCAAGCTATAGAAATGTAGGCAATTTTTGTTTTAGCAATATTTAACACAAATTAATATACTATGTACTGTTAGGGTATTATTTCAACTGGAGCCGTTGTTTATAAATCAACGATAAGAAGTGAAGGCCAAGGCGCGAAAATTCGGACTGAAAGGCAGGGGCATGGGAGAAAGAGAATGACCAGAGGCGAGGTGTGTTGTGTTGAGATACCTAATTTGGTCATTGTTTTATTCTCAAATAAAGTTATATTTGTGAAAAACTGTACAGTACATAAACATAAAATCATAAAATTACTGTTAGAATTAAGGTACACCTACCATTATCGTTTCTTCAGCTCCTTCAGTAATTAAATTTCTGCTGTGTAAATGAGACAGTAATTCTTTAAGAGATGCAATTTTTTTTTTGAGTCTTCGGTTCTGCCGTTGCGTAATTTCTAATTGCCTTTGTTTCGTGACAATAGTGTTCTTTAATAATTGCAAATTTTTCTTAGCTTTTCTTGGCGTTGCAAAATCCTCTTCAGTCAAACTGCCACTGTGCCTAGGTAATATGAATTTTCGCTTCTTTGGAATACATGGACTTTGTGGATTATGTTCATCTATAAATTAAGTGCTATTAAGAATGCCAGAATATACTTATATACAATAATTACTATGCAGTTTGTTTCACCTTCTGAATTTGTGGCAGGGAGATCTAACGAGTCGAATGCTGCATTTGGCTGGCAGACATATGTTTCGGAAACTAGTGGGAACATATTGGGTTCCTTATTGACAAGATTTGATGAAGTACCAGGCAAATGAGTAAATATCTGAGTTGCTAAAAGAGAGGTTGCTGCATTTCGGTAATAACTTTAATAGACACAGTGACTTACCATCTGTATCTGCGGAAACCAATTCTTGTTTAGAAATGCAGGTGCGTAAACTCGGCAGTTTGTTGGTTATCAATTTGGTTTGAGGCACAGCTCCAGGTTTTAGCCTTGTAAGACCACCAAATTGTTTAGCGCTCAAGTCCACATAATCATCAATAGCAAAATGCAAAGAACATATGAACAATGCAGAAACATCATCGATATTTTCATTCAAATTGCAAGCCTTAATCCATAACAAGCGTGTTTCAATATTTTTGGGAAAACTAAAAACATTTCATGATTAGCATATAAGTAGATTTTGAATTAAAGAAAACTTACCGATGATAGGTTAGGGTGTATTTCGTGTTCTGCATGTGCTCCTGCACATGCTTTCTCTTGCACAAGAAACACCTTTTCATTATTCACAATAGACACTGTTAAGTACTTTAGTAAACAACACAACACAGGACGAATAAATTTATGAACGGAAACAATCTTATAAAAACACAAGCCAAACCATACACCACGTATGTCACATGTCACAACACAAAATGAAACAAACTGAATCGATAAATTAATACTGAAGCGTTTTGTTTATTGTTTTATTCGTTTTAGAACCTCAAACTACAGACCATTTACAAACCTCAGACTAAAAATAAAGTACTCTGTGAT